GCTGGAGTGCAGTGGTGTGATCTCAGCTCACTGTAACCTCTGCCTCCTGGGTTCAAGTGATTCTCCTGTCTCAGCCTCCTGAGTAGCTGGGATTACAGGCATGTGCCACCACGCCCTCACCACGCCCTGCTAATTTTGTATTTTTAGTAGAGACGGGGTATTGCCATGTTGGCCAGGCTGGTCTCGAACTCCTGACCTCAGGTGATCCTCCTGCCTCGGCCTCCCAAAGTGCTGGGATTACAGGTGTGAGCCACCATGCCTGGCCATGGGCCAAGTTTTTTAAGGGTGGGGGTTATACCTGTTCAAAACTGATCTCCGTTGCGGAATGTAGTGCTGGCACCTCAGGCACTCAGTAAATGCTTCCTGAATGGATGACCAGACAGGTAGATGAGGTTCCGGAGGAACCGAGTTAAAACTCACAATGTTACAAGAAATATACCTGCTCGTGACAGGAGGATTAGAACACAGAGATGCATAAAGAAGCCCACTGAAGTCCCCTGTTGTCCCAAGCCCCTAAAGCTGAGCGCCCCAACATCCCTAATCACAACACTTTGCACCCAAGAGCGCACGTGCCTAGCACATGGCACAACCATCGCGCACAGGTCAGTGAAACTCCATCTATACTAAAAATGCAAAAAAAAAATTAGCCGAGTGGTAGCGGGCACCTGTAATCCCAGCTACTCAGGTGGCTGAGGCAGAAGAATTGCTTGAACCCTGGAGGTGGAGGTTGCAGTGAGCCGAGATGGTGCCATTGTACTCCAGCCTGGGCGACAAGAGCGAAACTCTGTGTCTCATGCTCAGGCTGAACTTGAACATGTGCATTAGCATCAGGCATTCCTCTGGGATCAGTGCGAGGTCTATATCATCTTCCCGTGGGTGTTTATTGTGGGCCTGCCAAGTGCTGGGCCCCACAGCAGGTGCTGCGGACACAGGAGTGAGCGAAACGAGAGCTGGTGGCCGCTCTCAAGGGGCCATGTCTGGAGGGGGAGCCCGAGATGGGTGAGACGGTCATCCCCCTGCAGTCCAGGTACAGACGGAAAGGAAACGCGGCTTTATGACAGCTGTCCCAGAGAAACCGGCCCTCAGCTGCGGAGGAAGTGACCCTTGAGCTGAAGGCTGTGTGGAGTTGCCTGGAGCCTGGTGTGGGAGGATCATTGGCCTGCAACCACCCTGTGGCCAGAGGGGCCGGTGTGCTCAGGAGGCTAAGGCCAGGGCCACCGGAGCACAGAGATTGCTGGGGCAAGCGGATGAGGGGAGCCCAGGGATATGCGCATCAGGGACTTGGCTCTTGGACCTAAGGGTGGTGAGAAGCTCTGGGGGGTGGGCGGGAGTGGGGGCAGTGATGAGGTGAGAGTGACAGGGCCAGGCTTGTTTTGTAGCGAGCACGTTGCTGGAGGAGAGTGGGCTCAGAGAGCAACAGGAGCAGGGGCGGGTGGAAGAGGGCGGTGGCCAGGGAGATGGGGTGCCATGATGGATCTGGGAGCTTTGGGGAAGGTAACAGCCATAGGACCAAGGACCAAGGACAGCCTGGGGGCTGATCACATCCTCCCGTGCCCACAGCACTTGAAGGGCAGAAAGCCCCTGTGCACTAGCAACTGCTATGGTGCAGGACACATGTGCCTGGTGCCCAGGCCTCCCTCCCCCAACCGCACACCTCTGCCCTGTCTCCCTTCCTGTGCTCACCCGGCCCCTCCACTGGGGTACCAGAGTGAACGCACTGTGAGCCCAGGTTATGCAAGCACACCCCCTCCACGCTGCACTGTGGAGATGGAGGCAGGAATGGGGTGGGGGGGCTCTACCTGTCAGGAACGGGAGTGACAGCTCTTGCTTGTAAAAATTAGAAAATAACAGAAAAGGCTGTTGAGCACTTGGGTGACTCGCAGGCATCAGTGATGCCATCTCCTGGCATGGTTGACGTCCAATGCATGAGCTGACTGTGGAAAAGCTGGAATCAGCCTGCATAGGTCTGTGTCCTGGATCCCATGTCATTTGCCTCCCTTGGGCCTTCGTCCATGCTGTCTCTCTCCTGTGACCTGGCAGGAGGGTCAGCCTGGGGAGCTGCATTGCTCATGCACTTCCTTGCTGTCCCAGGGTTTTCAGGATGCATGATGGGTGGCCTGCCCCTGGTGTGGGAACCAGGAGGCCTGGCTTCCACTGGAGGCTCCACTGCCCACAGTGTGATGGGGCCCGTCTGCCCTCTCCAGACTCCTTCCAGCTCCATCTATAAAGTGATGTGGCCGGAAGTGATCTCTGAGGGTCCCTGCTGCAGCTGGAGGCAGAAGTGCTGGGAGGCACTGGGGATGCTGCTCTTTGGGAGTGGGGTGGGTAGCTGATGGAAGCAGTGGGTGCTCGGGTTCGCACCCTGGGGAGACTGACCCCAGGGCCTCAGTGTCCTCACCTGCAGGAGGGCCCCGTGGCCGCTGTGCAGACAGAGCAGTCAGGTGTGAAGGCACAGCAGGTGCGGAGAAAAGGCGGGTATAGGGGAATCTCGTCTCCATGCTTTTTGGGTCTTTGCCAGTTTCCGTTCCTGAGGCTCTGCCAGGGGGATGTGGCTGATGCCCGTTGGCTGGAGTTGGAGAAAAGCTGCCTTGACCCTTGCTTCTTCCTGGCCTCTGGGCTGTGGGATGGCAGAGGGTACAGAGGCTGGTGAGTGGGGAGAGGGCCCGGCTGAGGGTGGCTGCCTCCCATGTGTCCCTGCAGAAGGAAGGGGAGTTCACCCTGCATGGCCGGGCCATCCTGGAGATGGAGCAGTACATCCGGGAGACGTACCCTGACGCAGTGAAGATCTGCAATATCTGCCACAGCCTCCTCATCCAGGTACCCATGGGGCAGGGAGCGGGAGCTCACGGCAGGCCACCGGCTCCCCGGGTCTGCACACATACTTCCCGGCATGCTGGCTCTGAGCCCAGCCCTCCCGCACTCCCAGGCTTCCTCCTAGGAGATCTGGCCAAGACCATCTCCCAGGACGTGTCAGAGGCCGCCTCTCCACTGTGGCTTGCAGGGATGCACTGCCTCCCCTCCTCCCGGCTCTGCTGTTGGAGTCCATGGGCTCTCACTTATTTTATTCTTCTCAGGAAGGCTCTTCTGAGTCTTCTGTGCAAGCCACATTGTCTTGGCCGTTGTGTGGTGAGCATCTGTATCGATGCTGCTTGCCTGAGTAGTCTGTTTCACGCCGATGTTTTGCAGGGCTTTGCAACCACTGAGCCTGTGTGGACGTTGATGTGTCCCTTCAGTTTCTGTCGTTTTGCCGTTGTATTTTGTAATTGCAGTTGCTCTCAGAGCCCTTGTACACGTGAATCCTTGGGCACCTGGTGATTATTTCCTTGGGTGGAGTTTCTGGGACAAAGTGCACTTTTTTTTTTCTTTAAAGCTTTTGATCCATGTTAGCAAATAATCTTCTGAAAAACTGTGGCTGTCCACATGCCTCCTGTAGGATCTGATCTGAGTGCAGGAGCTGGCGAGCCCTTGGCGTCTGTCTCTGCGTTCCTGTATACAGAATTGTTTAGTAAAACCGACTGCAACAACCGAGCAGACAAACCAGAGACTCCACTGCACTAAGGCATTGGGATTATTTTCAGTATTAATCAATTGGGGGCCCAGAAGATAACACGATGCCTGCTGCCTGCTGACCATTCTCCTTGTGGCTGCCCCGGAGCTTTGCGGAACATGGAGGTGTGCACGAGCTCCACAGTCGCTGGCCTTTCTTGTTTCAGGGTCAAAGCTGCGAGACCTGTGGGATCAGGATGCACTTACCCTGCGTGGCCAAGTACTTCCGGCTGAATGCTGAACCGCGCTGCCCCCACTGCAATGACTACTGGCCCCATGAGATCCCAGGTGCCTGGGCCGGAGGCGCTCGTGGGAGGGCCGGGTCAGCAGGACACAGGCCTGGCACTGGAGAAGCCCTTGGAGACGGCCCCCGAAGGGCTCCACGGTGTGTGGGGGTCCGTGTTAGCAGCTTGAATCCTAGAAGCAGCCACTGCAGAAGTGAAGGCGGAGCTGCCTACACCGTTCCAGAGGGCTTTCTAGAACCCAGTAGAAATTCCTACGCGCAGGAGCACTTGCGTAGACAAGGCTGTCTCTGGTGGCCCTCTTATGGGGCGTGAAAGCACGTCCACAGCTCCCTCATTTTGTTCCTCTGTGGACTGGGGCTGACTCTGCCTTCCTCCTGGGCTGGGGAGGGTTAGCAGCGGGAATGGTATAGGCCTAGGACAGAGTCCTTGGTACAAGAGACGTCGCTGCTGGCTCGAGCTGGTGCCCCTGTGCCGCCAGCCCCTCTGTTCACTGTGTCTTTCCTGCCTTTTCTGTCTACAGAAGTCTTCGACCCTGAGAAGGAGAGGGAGCCTGGTATCTCGAAATCGAACAGAAAGTCCTTGCGGTCCAGGCGGCATTAGCCGTGGTGCCCTGCTGAGGGGCTGGCCGCCTGGGGGGCCTGAACATCACAGCCCTTCTTGGAAGAGAGGCATCTGTGTAGCAGGTTCCACACGAGTCACCTCTTTCTTCTTAACTGCCCCTGTCCGCAGCTTTGGAATAAACCATCCTGCAAAGTTGCTGCAGCCCTGCCTGTGGTCTCGAGCCTGTGTGTGAGGCTCCATGTCGTGGCCTTGTCTTCTTTCCTGGAGTTTGGTCGTCACTCAGATCCCCCTGGGTTTGGGCTCTAGCAGGTGAAGGCACCAGAGTCCCCAGCAGTGGCCCAGGGGAGCTCACTGTCGTTGCTCAGGGTGGCCTTGCCTCCAGTCCCAGCCGTGGCCAGCTGTCCCAGCAGGACTGGGCTGGCTTGAGCCTGGACGTGTGAGCCTTGGCCTCCTCAGTTCCCCACAGTCTGGACTCCCCCGGCCCAAGGTGCCACTGGCCTGAATGGGCTGAGGCTGGGCGTCTGGGCAGGACGCGTGCTCTCCATCCCTGGGCTCTCTGCTCCCCGTCGGTGCCCGGCAGCCCTGCCATCCAGCTGCCCCAGCTGGGACTGAGAGCCGGCCTCCATGCTGCCTCTCTGTGACCCTTCTGCATCCCACTGTCCCCAGATCCTGTCCAGCTCAGCTGCCAGCAGCCCTCTGGCCCCACCACTGCTGTGTCAGGCTGAGCGCCAGCCCCGACCCACACCCTGCCTCTGTGCTCCCTGCAGAAGACCCCTGGACGCCCCCACTATGGCAGCAGGCTGTGACCCCTGGTGAGGCCCCTGCCCATCTGTCACCTCCTGCCCCCACCCACTGCTCAGGGTACAGTGCTTCCTTCACCAGCTCCGGAGCCTCTGCAGAGCTCCCTGGGCCTGCATGCCCATGCTTCTGGTATCCAGGTTTGTTCCCTGGCTGGCACCCGCTCACCCTTTGGCACTGGTCAGCCCCTCGCTCCCTGCACTTCCTCCATCCTCACACTTGTCAAGTCCCCATCTTCATGCCTCTCTTGAACCCCAGTGTCGGTCAAGATGCTTCAGTCATGACAGAAAAGCCAACTCAGACTGGCTGAAACAAGGAAGGACTGAACACAGGTGTCCTGAGGAGAGGCTTGGTCTAGGAGTTCCAACGAGGTCAGCATGCAGCCATATTTCTGTGTCTGCTGTGCTTTCACTGGGCTGGCCACATGCTTGGAGCCTACGCGGCGGGTTCCCGGAAATCCAGCTGCTTTCTTCATGGTGGCAAAATAGCTGCCATGCTTCCGGGCCTCACACATCATACCCTAGTATCAGGAGGAAGAGGATGGCTCTCACTTAGTGGCGCCCACGCCCTTGCAAGCACCCTCATGGCCCATATCTCCCACACGGACACCTGCAAGGTAGGGATGGATGATCGGCTAGCATTAGAAAATCAGACCCACTCCAGAGAGAGGCGGGGCTGTCCCTCCCAGGCCACGTGGCTGAGAGCAGGGACCTTTCCCAAAGCAAACTGAAGATGTGATTGCGTCAGTAGCCTCAGAGGCAGCGGGGAGTGAACTTGGACAGTGAATTGGTGGCTGGCCTCCTCCACTGCAGCCAGGAACATCCCACTTTGTTCACCTCCATAAACCCAGGGTGGAGCTGACATCTGGGGCTCCGTGAACGAATGACCCCTGCTGGTGGGAGGCTGACCCTCCCAGAACCGGGTCTGGACTCCTGAGCCCCCAAGCCCACCTTCCCATCAGAGAGGCAGCCGGGGACCCAGCCCAGCCCTTGGTCAGTGGGCAGAGACATGCCCATTGGTAAGCCCAGTGTGTCCAGCCAGTGCCAGCCCCGGCCGGCCTCACCGCAAGAGGAGTTTCTTAGAAGTGTATGAGGTGGCTTGCAGAAATGACAGGAAGGCAGGACCAGTCTAGAAAAGGCAGACCTTGGAATCGGGGGTGGTGGACATCAAGACAGTTCTGTCACAGCAGGGCGTTGGCCCCAGCCTGTCTGCGCTCCTCCCGACGCCCTCAAGATGCTGGTCGGTCCAGGGAGCAGCTGACGTTCAGACCTTCCAGGACCACGCTCCCTGGGGCAGAGGTCATTCTCCAGAATGCAATCAGCATGCTGTTCTGGAAGAATGGACGCCAGGAGGCGAAAAGCCAACCAGTAAATACGGCCTTCAGGAGGGGCTGGGGCAGCTCGGACTGCCTGCTGTCCCAGTTGTCCGGTGCTTCTGGTCGTTTGTTCTTTGAGCTCGACTGAGTCCTGGCTGGGGACCCAGGAAGCCTCTGGGCACTTGGCCACTGGCAACACCAGCCTTCCTGCTGCTTGTCTTTCCTGCCTGCAGCCCCTCCATGATGACATCGATGTGAATGTCCCACAACACACACTGTCACTCACCCGAAACCCTCATGAGTGGCTCTAGGCGCTGGCCTGGCATTCAAGGCCTTCACTACCCTGCCTGCCTTCTCTCCCACTGCCATGCATCCCTGCTGGTGCCCCTGACCTTGTCACTTGGGAATTATGGACTGGCCTGGTTCCCAGGGTCCCCTTCTAGGCCCTTGTCTGCACAGCAGCTGCAGACCCGTCCCTCCATGGCTGAGCCCCCCTCCAGTGCATTCTTCTGCTGGTCCCCAGACCCCGGGGCCCCACTGCCCTCCTTCCTACCTTCCCCTCCCTCTGCTCCAGCCGTCCTGGCTCCTCCTTCCCCTGTCCCCAAGCCGGGGCTTTCCTGTCTCAGGGCTGCTGGACCTGGTGTTGGGAGCTGGGCCTCAAGTCTCATAGCCAGTTCTGAATTCCTGGTCAAGCCCTTGCTCTTCTAATGTCAAGTATCAAAAAACCCTGGCCCCACCAATCCATCCCTGGCTGCCATTTTCCACCCTGTCACCCTGCTCTGTTGCCTTCATGGCACTTACACGGCATGACACCGTCATTTTATTCCTACGTCCTTATTGGACCTCCTGCCACGGCATTGGAACACCACGAGGTCAGGGGCCTCATCTGATCAGTGATAGGCATGCTAGCTGTGTCCTGTGTCCACAGTAGCAGTCTCAGTGTCCTGACAGCTGTGGCCACATCTTAGGTGGGGGCTCGCATATGTGTCTCTCCTTGGTCTGTGACTGTTTGGCGCTTGGGTTCCAAGCTGGCTTCAGAAGCCATCCTAGGGTTGGGATTCCTAGGAACACTGGAACCTTAGCAGGAAGCGGGGGACAGGGCAGGATCATGTCCCCTTCCCATTTCTCTCATCTGACAAGGGACATTTGCTTGAGGCCTCCTGGCCTGGATACATGTTAATGAACGTGGCCTCCCGTGCCCGGCTTTTTGTCACGCTACACTACAGATGGGCTGTGGGGCCTGCCAGCGGGACAGGCAGGGGCACTGGGAGCTGGGGCCACAGCCCACCTGTCCTTCAGCTGGGGAAGGGGTGCGAGTTATACACGTGGGCCGAGAGTCAGGGCCCTCTGGCTGGGCAGCCACCGCTCCTCACTCATGGCAAACATAGGCATGGGGGCATCCCTGTTTTATGCCTCGCTACCTTCAGGGATGTTGACATCTGGTGTAAATTCTTCCTGTGAAAGATTAGGAAATGATTAAAATGGCAGGGAATCAACAATGTCCTTACAGGCAGCTAGACACGGAGCAAATTAACTCCACTTCCAGATAGCTCGTTTGTCATGCTCTGCCGCGCCCACGGCCCCTCAACAGCCCACTCCCAGGATGAGTAAGAGCCACGGCCTCTTCCTGCCAACAGCCAGCTTTCAAGAACGCAGATTCTGCTGGTGTCTGCCCAATGGCCGAGAACCCCAGTACCTACAGGATGAAGGTCAAGCTCCTTGGCCTGGGTACGGAGGGCATCAGGACCTGGAATTCCAGCTGCCCGCCACCACCTTCCCATCCCCCCTCTAGTTACCCCAGGGTAGTTACACACACACCCCCCACCCCCCACCCAGAATCTCTCCTGGGGCTTCTTGATTTTGGGTCAAAAGACAAGCAGCTGAGCCTGTGGGTCAAGGTGCTGGCAGGACAGCAGCTGAACCCTCGGGGCTCTTTTCCCCAGGCCTATCTTGGAAGGGAGAAAGCAGCCAAGGCTGTCATGGTGGCTCATACCTGTAACCCCAGGACTTTGGGAGGCCAAGGTGGAAGGATTGCTTAAGCCCAGGAGTTCGAGACCAGCCTGGGCAACATAGTGAGACCCCCATCTCTATTTAGTTTAAAAAACAAAAAAAAACAAAAGAGGGCTGGGGAAAGTCTTAGTGGCCAAAACATAAAACAAACCTGCATGCACACAAAGAAGACACATTTACAGAAAGCATGGAGCCTGCGATCTCCCCCGGCCTCAAACCCTTCCCCCGTTTGAGGGGGATGGCGACTGGAGGTGGAGGGAGGGGCTGCTGATGGTCTGGTTTCTCCACTTGGGAGCCTGATCCTGGGGGAGTTTGCGGGGGAAGAGTCATTCAGTCAGAAGACCTCTGCACTTCTCTGCAGGCAGGTAGGTTATCCTTGAGCCATGAGGATGACAGAAATTTCCCTCCACCCAGCAGGGGTCCGGGCTCCTGAGCAGGCCTCTACGGACTCTCCTCTGTGACCGGGGCAGCGCCTAGCTCTATCTCCAGTCTTCAGGCTGTGGCATCCAGCAGGTTCGGTTATGGGAAGGAAGGGCAGAAGCATCGGACTAATTGGGAGCAGCGACAGCGGCTGAGGTTCGTGCAGCGGCAGGGGCTCGGCACCGCCTCCTCGGCCCTTGCAGTGAGGGCTGGCCTTGCTGTCTTCTTCCACGTGGGCACAGTGAAGTGAGGGATCCTGGCCGAGTCACACAGCAGGTACACAGTGGGGCTGGGTTTGAGTCAAGCAGCCTCCTTATTTATTTACTATAATTTTTTTTTCAAAGACAGTCTTGCTCTGTCTCCCAGTCTGGAGTGCTGTGTTGCAATCACGGCTCACTGCAGCCTCAACTTGGAAGGCTTAAGCGATCCTCCTGCCTTAGCCACCTCGGAGCCCACATTTCACCCCTGCCCGTGGAACCCGCCCGTTTCCCAAGCACGTTAGGCTTTCTGATGCTGGAACCCCTGTGCAGGCTGCCTGCCTGCAATGTCCTTCTGGGCTCACCCCACCTTCCTCTGCCATGCACCCCCGGGCTGGACTGTGCCCCTTTCTGGGCAGCCCCCGCTCTGTGCCTGTGCCGTGCTGGAGCTCGACCCCTCAGGGCTGCCACTGGGCAGTGAAGGGTCCTCAGGGCACAGGTTCAGTCCTGCTTGTCTCTGTAGCAGCAGGGGGGCCACCGAGCAGGAAATCTGTGAACAGATGAATGCTGTCTGCACATCAGGCCCCTTCAGCTCCCTTCCTGGCTATGACCACCAGAAGCTGACCGAGAAGCTCAGATCCAGAGCTCGCACGTAGTGCCAGTGTTTCACCGGGATGAACAGGACCTCTCCAGGGGACAGGATGCAGGACACGAACGGAGCCTTGGCAAACTTGGGGAACTTCTCCAGGTCAGGATTCTCCACGTCCACCTGAAGAAAGCAAAGGATGTCATCCTCTCCAGGGGCAGTGGGGAGAACCTGCAATGTCACCCCCGACCCCCAGTGCCCACCTGGCTCGTGTTATGGAGAAGGTGCGTGTCATGAGGGTACAGAGCCCCTGACTCCTGCGGGGAATACAGCCGGATGTACTTCCTCCCCATCACCTGGGAAGAGAGACCCCGACAGTCAGCTGGTGGCCTCATTCTGCTGCTGCCCCCGCCCGTCCTGGCCTCTGTGCCCTTCCACATACTGCTCCCTATGCCCAGTCTGCCCTTCCCACCAAACACATGCTTACAGTTCCCCGTATTTTTAGAGAGAAGGTCTCACGTATATTTTTAGAGACAGGGTCTCACTTGGTCATCCGGGCTGGAGTGCACTGGTGTGATCAGGGCTTACTGCAGCCTCGACCTCCCGGCCTCCAGAGATCCTCCCGCCCCAGCCTCCCCAGTAGTTGCAACTACAGGTGTGCCCCACCACACCTAGCTGAGTTTTGTATCTTTTTTTGTTAGAGATGGGGTTTCACTATGTTACCCAGGCTGGTCTTAAACTCCTGGCCTCAAGGGGTCCTCCTGACTCGGCCTCCCAAAGTGCTGAGACTATAGGTATGAAGCACCAAACTCCACCTAAAGGTATGTTTTTCCTCCAAATCCATTATGAATAACTTCGTTTTTGGGGCCCACAGTTACTAGGCACTCGTCTGTGCCAGGCACTGCTTAAGTACTTTATGTGTGTTAACTGGTTTAATCCTCTCTGAGGTGGTTTATCTTCACTCCCATTTTGCAAACTGAGGCACAGAGGGGTTAAATGAGCTGCCCAAGCTTACAAAGCTAAGGGGTGGCAGGGCTGGAGTCTGCGCCTGGCAGGCTGGCTCCTGAAGCTCAGCTCTTAGCCCCCTCCTGGACTGCCTCACTGGACCGGTCTGCTGGGCTAGAAGAATGTTCCTTACTAAACCTCTCTCTGCCTGTGAAAACCAAGGTGGTCTTACAGCAGTAGACAGAGGCGCCTCCCTTTACAGCAAACCCATCTGCTCCTCTGCCTGGGTCTCAGGAAAACTCCTCCCCTAACCTGCTGTCTCTTATTTGGAAGCTGGTCTGGATCGGGTGGATGGCAGGTAGAGGAGGGGGAGGGAGGGGTACCTGGGCAGCTGTGCCAGCACTCACCCGCCCCCTCTCCCAAGGGCTCCCTGCGAGGGATCTTGGGGCGAGCACAGGCAGGAGTAGCTGCTTCTGGAAGCAGCCAACTGCAGAGCCTTCCCCAGGCCTGGGACCGTTTCTGGGTTTGTTTTATATTTTTGTCCACATCCCCTTCAGTGCTTTTTGTTTCTTTTTAAGAGCCTGGTTTTTAAAGGCAGGGAATGCGGCCGGCCCGGTGACTGAGTCAGGAGACAGGAGGGCCACTGTTCCCACGGCAGCTCCCACCTGGACTAGGAAGTTATGCTGGGGATCCTGATGGAGCGGGGAGACGGTTCCCTGGGGACCAAACCAGGCATTAATGGTGATCTCCTCTTCCTCCCCATTGCCCAGGCTGCAGTAGTCAGGGATGTTGATGTCCTGCTTCAGTTCCGGGATCTGTGGGCAGCAGAGCAGACGTGAGAGGCGGGGATCAGGCCCCGGACACAGTAGCCCAGAAGCCAACTAAGAGTCAGAGACACACAACTATATCCATCATGTATGTGTGTGTTTGAGACAGGGTCTGGACCTTGTTTCTCAGGTTGGAGTGCAGTGGCGTGATCTCAGCTCACTGCAGCCTCTGCCTCCTGGGCTCAAGTGATCCTCCCACCCCAGCCTCCCCAGTAACTGGGACTATAGGCATGCACCACGCTTGGATAATTTGTTTTTAATTTTTGTAGAGACGAGGTTTTGCCGGGTTGCCCAGGCTGGTCTTGAGCTCCTAGATTCAAGTGATCCACTTGCCTCGCTTTCCCAAAGTGCTGGAATCACAGCTGTGAGCCTCCACATCTGGCCCTCACCTTGCTAGTTTTCAAAGCCAGGGTAGGCACAGAGGATTTGTTGCCATGCCTGGCAGAAACAGGCTAGGCAGAGAAACCGGCTGATGAGAAAGGCAGGCATGGACCTGGGTCTGTGCTCTGAGATTTGTATGAAGCAGTAAGGAAGAGGCGGCTTCCCACTGCCTCCAATAGAGCTGTATGCCACACATCAGGTGATCTTGGATATTCGTGGTGGGGGAGGGCTGTGGTGGCCTGGCCTCCTTTATTTATGTATTATAATTTTTTTTTCACAGACAGTCTTGCTCTGTCACCCAGTCTGGAGTGCAGTGGTGCAATCACGGCTCACCGTAGCCTTGACCTGCAGGGCTTAAGTGATCCTCCTGCCTCAGCCTCCTGAGTAGCTGGGACCACAGGAGCATGCCACCATGCCTGGCTAATTTTATTTTTCTGGAGATGGGGTCTTGCTATGTTGTCTAGGCTGGTCCTGCTTGGCCTCCCAAAGTGCTGGGACTGTAGGTGTGAGGCACTGCACATAGCCCTTGCCTCCTTTAGACAAAGCCAGGGTCTCAGAGTGAAAACACACTCACTCTAAGGCCACTTCCTGTCTAGACCCTTAGTAGGCACCTCAGTTACCTCTGGGGTTGAACCCACCAGAGCAGGCCACCAGCCCACACCCCGCAGGCCACCAAGAACCCCAGGGTTCTTCACAGGACCCTACTTGGACCCGGCAGCATTTTTCAAGCTTGAAAGGCATGAAAACAGGGTTGCCAGGGGCACACAGGTCTTTTTAGAGTCACTGCTCCCAGTCTGAAGGCATCTGCAGGTGGACACTACCATTCCTTCCGGAGCAGTGATGGTAACTTCAGGCACCTGGCTCAGAAACCAGTGTGTACTGGGAAAAGCTGGAATGTCTTCCCCGCAGGGAGCTTGGTCCCAGACACTGCTGTTCAGTCCTTTAAGAAACTGTCTCAAATCAGCTGTGCAGAAATGCAGCCGTACCTGCTGCTTAGGGATGAAGTACAAGAGTACAAGTTCACAAGCTGAGGGCCCTCCCAGGGATGTGGGGGGCTCCTCCCAAAGGTAACACCCGCCACTGCTGCTTCTGACCAGACCTGGCCCTGTGGAATCTAAGCAGAAACTCTGATTGGCCCCTGATAACATCATCAGGATTTCTGAAAGGTGACTGGCTGATCAGATCATGTCATCAGAATCACTGGCCAAGGACGCAGAGGCCCCCAAGGGAATCCGTGCCACTGGGATGTGACTGATAATTGAGGTGGGCTTAAACTGATGGCCAGAATCTTCTAAAATATGGGGTCTCTGGGAGAAAAGTCAATAAGAGGTTCTTGGACAAGAATTTGGTAGGAGTCCCTGAGTGTCCTGGAGGTAGAGAAGGTCCTAGAACATTGTCCTTGCCACATTGCATGACAGCGCCTGGGCACGGAATGCTGGGACTTCTCCAAGGTCCTCTCCACAGCACGGTGGACATTCATCTCCAGGACTCAAGTTAAACTAAACACCCAGGCGGCGCTCCATCACCTGAAGCATCTTTAAAGTCCTGCTTCATCTTGAAAGTCACTGTGAACTTGGCCTTCTACTCCTATATATATCTCCTCCTGTCCTAGGAAATATGAAACAGGAGGCCCTGCTTGGCCTCCCAAAGCACTGGGACCACAGGTGTGAACCACTGCACACGGGCCTTGGGCCCTTTAGACAAAGCCAGGATCTCAGACAGAAAACACACTCACTCTAAGGCCACTTCAGCTGCTCTAGGACAGGGAGCCAAGGTTAACTGTGGCTTCCAGGGTCCCCGGCCCACAGTGAGGCCACACCCCAGGACGACTGGGGTCAGGGGAAAGGTGGGTCTTGGGATCACACAGTAGGGACCTGATCAATCCCCCTTTCCTTCACTTAGCAAGTGACATGGACAGGAGGCAGGATGCCTAAGTCCTAAGAGAGAGGCCTGGGGAAGAGAAACTGCCAGCCTCCTTTAATGTCAGCATGAAAGGTCCTGGCACAGCCCCTACTGGCCCTGCCTCCCCCATCAAGACAGAGAGTCAGGCAGCCCTGGCCTCAGCAGCAGATGCAGCAGCTGGGTAGCAACCCAGGGCCCCCCGCAGAGGCAGCCTTGACTGTGGCCCTGACTCCAAATGACTCAAGTTTTCCACGTGCAGGGAACGCCCCTGGTCCTGTCCTTGAATCCTGTCAAGTGCTGCCTCCCTGGGCACTCCTGGCAGACACCACACCAGCCAGGTCCCTCCTGCACACTCCAGCCCCATCTATTTAGTGTTTTGGGGTCCTGAATCTGGGTGTCTTCCCCGATCTTCCCTCCTACCCCCACACATCCGCCCACGTCCAGGGCCTGATGGTTCACACCGATCTTGAACTGCTCCACCTGCCGGCATCACCTCTCCTTGGACCACAGCAACAGCCCAGCCAGCCTCCCGCTCTTGACAGCTGCTCCCTTCATCTCCAAACAGCGGCCCCTGCGATCGTGGGAGCACTGGCGACCCCCCAGTGTTTCCCATCACTTTAAGAAAATGGCTCCTCGTCAGCCCGGTCCTGCCGACTTCCCAGCCTCACCTGCTGCCTCCCTCCTCCTCACGTCCACTGTTCTGGCTGGACTGAGCCCAGGAGGGGAGGAAAGGGGAGAAGGTGAAGGACAGAGGAGCATGGTCTCAGACTTACCTGGTCAAAGAGCTGGTGCTGAGCAAGGTACCCAACGTCCCTCGGCTAATCCACCGGAGAAAACCAGAGGCGACACAGAAAGCCCAGTTAGTCATCACAGATGCCCTCCTGCTGCTGCTGCTGCTGCTGTCCAGCTGGCCCCAGCCCCTGCCACCCTTCCACTCCATCCTGAGTGGTCCTCTCCAACTCTCAGAGGCCCTGGAGCAGCTTCAAAAAACTTCTCCAGCACTGAGAACGCCCTTTGTAAAGCACTGATCTCATCCATCTGGTTGGCAAACATTTTCATAAAATGGCAACACCGAGTGGACGCTTGTGTTAACTGCTGATGAAAGTATAAGTGATTTAACTTTTGGGAGAACCTTTCCTCCCTTCCCCTTCTGCCCCCTCCCCCACTCCTTCCCTCTCCATGATTCTCCTGCCTCAGCTTCCCTAGTAGCTGGGATTACAGACACGCGTGACCACGCCCGGCTTTTTTTTTTTTTTTTTTTTTTTTTTTTTTGAGATGGAGTTTCGCTCGTTACCCAGGCTGGAGTGCAATGGCGCGATCTCGGCTCACCGCAACCTCCGCCTCCTGGGTTCAGGCAATTCTCCTGCCTCAGCCTCCTGAGTAGCTGGGATTACAGGCACGCGCCACCATGCCCAGCTAATTTTTTGTATTTTTAGTAGAGACAGGGTTTCACCATGTTGGCCAGGCTGGTCTCGAACTCCTGGCCTCAAGTGATCTGCTTGCCTCAGCCTCCCAAAGTACTGGGATTACAGGTGTGAACCACCATGCTTGGCCACTATTAAAACTTTAAATACATACTCTTGACTTTGAGGTCCAACTTTTGGAACAGACTAAAACCCACTGAATTATACTCCCCTACCCTAAAAAAGGACCTGAAATAAATCCCTCATGTCTGCTGGCCGCGGTCATTCCGCAACCATAGACTTACAGACTGACTCCTCTAAAACCTCCCACTGCAATGCATGAAGGGCTATTTGTCTAAATGTACTACGCTCTCTCCCATGCGAGTACCAGGGGAAAGCAGTCCCCATGACGTACCTGATTCACGATGTATTTGCTGATGAACTCATTGACCGTCATGAGTGTCTGGGACCATTCCTCGTCTGTGTACCTGGAGCCAACTTCCACAGGGACGGTTCGGCGGCCAGCGATCTCCTGGATATACTCCAGACTAGCAGAAAGATATGCCTTGGCGTCATCACTGCTAATATTTGTTGGGCATAGTACTAAGTGTGCTTTATATGGGGTTCCCTTCCAACCTCAGCAAACCTCACGTGCAGAGATGGGGACTGTCATCCCCTTCTTCACTGATGAGGAAACGGGCATGGAGAAGCGGGGTTCCCGGCTCAAGCTATACAGCTCAGACATGGTGCTGCGGAGCGTTAAAGATGGGGCCGGTAAGTCTGGCTGGCTGGGCTGCTCTGGTTCCCTGCTTGCCAACGGCCTCCTTCCTTCTTTCTTTGCTCATTTTGTCACTACGCTGAGAAAGCTTTGAACAAATAGCAGCAGCGCGGGGAGTGGTGAAGTGACGTCCACTGAGCTCTGCATTCTAGCCTGACTAATTCCCGGCCTCATCATTAGACCGGGGGATCTGCAGCAGGTTACTGAGCCTCTGTGAGTCCTTGATCTCCATTTACAGAATGGGGGTGACGACAGCAGCTGTCCTAGTGCCAGGTATACACAGCGAAATGCTTCATGAAGGCTGGCTGTGAGGAGGGCTCCTGCAGTGAGAATTGCTACACGCGTCAGCCGGTGGCGTTCCCTCCGCTAAACCACAAAACAGCCTGACTCCATCTACCTTCCTTGAGAGATGCCTCCTTATTTCCAAACTCATGCAGAGCCACGGCATGACAGCCACGCTCCAGCTGCCTGATCTGATAGCCCCATCGTGAATCTGAGAAAGGACTAGAAATCAACACAGGAGACCACGGAATCCCTCAGAGACAGAGAGAGGCTGTCTCTTGAGTTATTTCTACGCTTAGCTTCAGGGCCCTGAGATGATCTGAAATTGCTAGGATCCTGCAAAATTGTATAACAGACATTGCCACTTAGGGAATCATCAAAAACCCGCTTAGGGCCAGCAAGAGGTGGAAGATGAGAATCCCGTACCCTGCGGCATAAATTCGGAGCACCTTACTTTTCATTCTTTTTTAGCCCCTTGGCAATCAGTCAAGGGCTGCTAGTGAAGCATCTACAAGGCGGCATTTCCCTGGGGATGGTTGGGGGAGGAATTCGGGGAGCTGTGGGGAACACTAAAACGGAAAGAGGGACCTCACCTCCCTCAGCGGCAACCCACCTCCACTTCTTCATGCACGGCCAGTGGTCAGCCACACCTCTCAGGATCACAGGCCTCTCTGGAACCAAAAACTGCTCCCTGAAATGCTGGAGGGATGGGCAGTGCAGCCGGGGGACTGTTCTTTCTAACTTCACATCTGGAATCGAACCATGGTCCGTCCTTGCTTTCTGTTTAAAATCAAAACAGAACAAAATAGCAGCTGCCTCAGGAAGTCAACATTTGAGGCATTCCACCAGGAACCTGTGTCGGGGGAGGAGAGCTTAGCTGTCATGAGTCCCAGCAACAACAGACAAAGTTTTATCACTGCTACTACTGCTATTTGCTCCTCATGAGATCAAGGTGGTTTTTTTCTTACCTGTTTCATTAAAAATGTTTGTTTCATTATAAAAGCAATATAATACACTGCTTTCACAGAAATTCTGCAATAAAGGAAAACGTACTATGCCCCAACTTCATCAACTTAAGGTCTTTTCATTCCTGCATATTCTTTTCCCATCTTACACACATGCACATACACACATGTACATACACATGCATGCACACACACGTGCACACACATACACCACACACATACACACACATGCACATACACACATGCACACAGATACATGCACACACGCAGACACATATACATACGCACATACATGCACACATACATACACATATACACACATGCATTACACACACATGCACATGCACGCACATACACACGCACATATACACATACACATATACACACATACACGCACATATACACAGACACATGCACACACGTACACACGCACATACACACACACATACACACACACACACACACACACACAATTTCTGACCCGCTGGGAGTAACAGCCACAATGAAGCAGCAGCCCTGCCTCTCCTGTCCAATCATTTATCAAAAGCAGTTTCCACCTGGCCACCCAGTCCTTGCAATTTTTTAGGAGCGGCTGCACCATCATTTACTTAACTATCTCCCAACTGGGTGACCTGAGGCGTTACTTGCTGTTCAAGGCCTCAGTGTCTAGTGCCCACAGGTGTGAAACTGCTGAGAAATGGCTGGGCACGGTGGCTCGTGCCTGTCATCCCAGAACTTTGGGAGGCCAAGGTGGGAGGACTGCTTGAGCCCGGGAGTTTGAGACCAGCCTGGGCAACATAAAGAAACCTCCATCACTAGAAAAAATTTTAAAAGCCAGACGTGGTGGTGCACACCTGTAGTCCCAGCCACTCAGGAAGCTGAGGTGGGAGAAATCACCTGAGCCTGGGAGGTCGAGGCTGCAGTAAGCTATGTTTTTTTTGAGACAGAGTCTTGCTGTGTTGCCCAGGCTGGAGTGCAGTGGTATGATCTTGGCTCACTGCAACCTCTGCTTCCTGGGTTCAAGCAATTCTTCCAACTCAGCCTCACAGGTAGCTGGGATTACAGGTGTGTGCCAGAATGCCTGGCTAAGTTTTGTACATTTAGTAGAGATGGGATTTCACCATGCTGGCCAGGCTGGTCTTGAACTCCTGACCTCTGGTGATCCACCAGCCTTGGCCTCCCAAAGTGCTGGGATTATAGGTGTGAGCCACCATGCCCGGCCTGCAGTGAGCTATGATTAGCACTCGAGCTTGGGTGACTGAGCAAGACCCTATAGGTAAAAAATGAAATAAAATAAAAGGGTAACCCACACACCATGCCCTTGGCCCCATAGTGCCCTTGGCAACACTGGGTGTCATATGAAGCCTTGTTTGCTAACTTAATACCCAAAGATGACATGCTATTTTGCTATTTGCATATCTCTCTTTTGTTTTTTTAACCAGAGGTGAGGTTGAATATTTTCCTGCACATTTGTTTAACAGACCTATTTCCATCTTGTGAACAGTCTGTTCAGGCTCCTGGACTTCTACCTCCTGGGGCTCAAGATTTTTTCCTTATTGATTTGTACCATTCCTTACATAATAGAGATCTTCATTGTCTGACGTATTTGTTGAAAATTTTTCTTCTCCCTTTATTGGATTTTGTTTTATTTTGGTTACATGCATGTGTGTTTAGTGACAACATTTGCATTTTTTCTTAGATAAAAATAATATGTGGCTGGGCGTGGTGGCTCACACCCATAATCCCAGTACTTTGAAAGGCTGAGGTGGGGAGATCAACTGAGGTCAGGAGCTTGAGACCAGCCTGGCCAAATGGTGAAAACTGCATCTCTATTAAAAATACAAAAATCAGCCGGGCGTGGTGGTAGGCACCTATAATCCCAGCTACTCGGGAGACTGAGGCAGGAGAATCACTTGAACCTGGGAGGCAGAGGTTACAGTGACCAACACCGTGTCATTGCACTCCAGCCTGGGTGATAGAGCGAGACTCTGTCTCAAAAAAAGAATGAATAAAAATAAAAAATAAAACTAAGAAAAATAGCTGGGTGTGTTGCCACGCATCCATGGTTCCAGCTACTAAGGAGGCCGAGGCAGAAGGACTGCTTGAGCCCAGGAAGAGGAGGCTGTAGTGAGCCAAGATTGCACTACTGCACTCCAGCCGGGGTGACAGAGCGGGAGTGTACCTCAAAAACAAACAGGAATTCAAAATCAATGGAGATGCTATTTTCCGTCAGAGGGGTTGCAGGCCATGAGGCTCCATCCCAGGGGAGAGAGAACTTGGAATTTCTAGAACAGCAGGGTTGTTGGATGGCTGTTGTGCTTGGGGACAATCTCCCCCACATACCTTTGTGCAGGGCTGCTCGGGGGTGGAGCCATGGGCAGGCCTTTTTCCAGGGAGGTGTGCCTGCAGGATGGCAGCAACTTTAAGGAGGATGTCCCCAAGGATGGCCGCCCCCATCAGCAGGCCCATGTCACAGACCCGCAGGGCTGCGGCCACAGTGGTGGCGTCCCCAGGTGCCTGGCACAGACACAGGACTTTCAGGAGGCAGCCCATGGCGTAGACCTGGCGCCAGTCTTTGTCTACGTCCCGCCACGTGCCCGTGTTGAGCTTCTCCCAGGAGTAGTCCAGGATCACCTCGCTGGTCTGCAGACACTCGGCCCTCCTGCCCTTGTAGAAGAGCTCAGTGGCTTGCTGCAACAGCGTCACCACGCTCCTCTCCACTTTCTCCCCGAGGTCCAGCTTCAGGTCTTCTTTAGTGTGTGGCAGGAGCGCCCTGAGGGCCTCCCAAAGAGTGCCTTCTCCGGCCAGGGGCTCTGCGGGGCAGTGGGTGTCTCCAGCCATTGGACCACCGCCAGCTCAGTCGGTCCTGCGCCTGGGGAGGCGGAGAGAAACAAGAGTTAGACACCAGGACAGACCTGTCCCCGGTGCATTCCTGCAGCTTCCTGCATCTCATCTGGGAGGATTTTTCAACAGCGGTCTTCTCTGCTGGGCATTTCCAGAAGGGACGGCCCCCTCCTCTCTGGGGTCACCGCTGTATCTTCAGGGCCTGTTACAATACCTGGTACTCAGTGAGCACTGGACAAACGTGTGTTCAGAAAGGAACATGTAGATTGTCCTTGTCTGCACTGCCTCCCATACCCCTCTGCTGCCTGGCAAACTCCTACCCAACGTTTAAGGCCCATCTTAAATACCTGTATGTGAGGCCTGCCAAGACTCTCCAACAGTGTTGTGTTCCTGCAGCCCTTGAGCTTCTCTTTATAGCACCTGTGACAATGTATGAAATACACCTGCTTACATGTTGTCTATCCAACACTGCACTGATGGCTCCTCCAGAGCAAGAACACAGCCATTCCCCTGTGCTTCCCCAGAGCCTAAACACAGAGTCTGCCTCATGGCAGGCACTCAGGAGTGCAGGACTTTGAAAAGTATTCGAGGAGGCCGGCACGGTGGCTCACGCCTGTAATCCCAGCACTTTGGGAGGCCAAGGCAGGTGGATCGCTTGAGCTCAGGTGTTCAAGACCTGCCTGGCCAACATGGCAAGACCCCATCTCTACAAAAAATACAAAAAATTAGCTGGGCATGGTGGTACATGCCTGTAGTCCCAGCAACTCGAGGATGTGAAGGTGGGGGGATCACTTAAACCTAGAGGCAAAGGTTGCAATATGCCGAGATCATACCAACAGCCTGGGTGACAGAGCAAGATCCTGTCTTAAATTGAAAAAAGAAAGAAGGGAAAAAAAAGGCCAGGTGGCTCATGCCGCCAGTAATCCCAGCATTTTGGGAGGCTGAGGCGGCGCGTCACTTGAGGTCAGGAGTTCGAGACCAGCCTGACTAACATGGTGAAACCTTGTCTCTACTAAACATACAAAAATGAGCTGGGCGTGGTGGTACATATCTGTAATCCCAGCTACTTGAGAGGCTGGGGCAGGAGAATTGTGTGAACCCAGGAGGTGGAGGCTGCAGTGAGCCAAGATTGCGCCATTGCACTCCATCCTGGGAGACACAGCCAGACTCCATCTCAAAAAAAAAANAACATGGTGAAACCTTGTCTCTACTAAACATACAAAAATGAGCTGGGCGTGGTGGTACATATCTGTAATCCCAGCTACTTGAGAGGCTGGGGCAGAAGAATCGCTTGAGTCCAGAAGGCAGAGGTTGCAGTGAGCCAAGGTTGCGCCACTGCACTCCAGCCTGGGCGAATAGCGAGACCTAAAAAAAAAAAAAAAAAAAAAAAAAGAAGTAACTTGCCCTAAGCCCTATGGTCAATCATTTGTGTAGACGCAGCACTTAAATTCCGGCTGATCTCAGCACCCTCTCCTATGTGGCATGGCAACGCTGCAAGCTTGACATATAGAACACATCCCTTGCAATCTTACAATGGAAGTTTTACAGATGGATAGACTGAGATTTCAGAGGTTAAGCAACTTGTCCAAACTACACAGCAAGTAGCAGGTCTACCCAGAACACTCATTGCCCTCCAGGGTGAGCTCTCTGGACTTTGTATCCACAGGGCTGAGCTCAGTCCTTGGTTCACAATGAGCATCCTTTCCAGTAAGCGCACACTGTGGTAGGACTAGAGCGCCCCAGCCTGCCCGGATGGGTTCTCTCTCTGGCCTCCTAGAAGGCTCATAGGTCGCTTGTGTTGGCCTCATTCACAACCTTCTTGGAGAGTTTCACAGTCCAAGTTGCAGCACGGACTTCTCCACTAGGCCAGCACAAGACACCACATGGGATCATCCCTGACCTCCCTGGGTGACCTCCTGGCTCATCTGCTGCATGTCTTACATGAATCTCATAGAGCAACACAGAGGTCTCATCTTGAGCATCCCAGAGATTTCAGGAGCCTCATATCCTGGCTTCTCATAAAGGCCAGTTAAAAGGCCTCCCAGGAAACCATTTATTGCCTTACTATGAAACAGTCTTCCAAAGTGGTTTTTTGAGATAGAGTGTTGCTCTGTCACCCAGGCTAGAGTGCAGTGATGTGATCTTGGTACATGGAGACTGGGGCCCTATGTACCGGCTTTATGAACTTGTCTCCTGATGGCCTTAGAACACGGCCTCCCAGAGGGTTTCAAATGGGCTCTAAACTCGTTCCCTGCAATGCAGATTACAGGCTTTGTAAATTAGTGCTCCAGGGTGACCTTAGAAAACGGCCCTTCACAGGGCGCCCATCAGCCTTACAAAGCCAGCTTCTCAAGGTAGCCTCACGTGTGCAGCTGTAGCCAGGTTCCCCCAGTGGCCCCGTGTGCTGCCTTGTCACCTGGCCTCCCAGGGTGGCCTCACGTTTGGTCTTCATAAACTGCCTCCTAAGGCAGCCTATCTGCTACTTTGCAAATTGGCCTTGGAGACCTCACGTTGAAGGCCGATGGACACAGCCTTCTGGGAAAGATGGCCTCCTAATACTGTGAGTTGGCTGTACAAAACAATCTCTTCTTGGCCACAGGAAATATCCTTATTATTCTTCTTTAATGCAGAGTTCTTCAATGAATGGCCTTATAAAAAGGTCTTCAGAGATACTTATGTTGACAATATATGGTTCCAGAAACGGAGGCTTCAGGATGGCTGTGTAAGTTTGTTTTCAAAATGGCTTTTCAGATTGCCTCTGTATAAGCCACTAGAAATGGCCTCCCCAAAGGCCTCGAGATTGACGTTATACACTGTTCTCTCATCTGAAACAGGAGGACTGCTTGAACCCAAGAGTGTGAGACCAGCCTGGGCAACATGTCAAGACCCTGTCTCTAAAAAAATTAAAAAAATAATCAGCTGGGGCCACACACCTGTAGTCCCAGCTACTCCAGAGGCTGAAGCGGGAGGATTGCTTGAGCTCAGGAGTTTAAGGCTACAAGTGAGCCATGTTTGTGCCTCTGCACTCCTGTCTGGGCGACAGAGTGAGACCCTGTTTCAAAAAATAAAACTTTAGCCTCCTACAAGGTCTGATGTTGGCAGCATGGTGCGGTGACATTCTGGCCGTATCAGTCTTTGGCCTGGTTGCACAGGCTTCCCCAAACTTCTCATGATTTGGGCTTTTATGTAGTTGCCATATCAAAAAGCCACAACCTGGTACAGGAAACAGTCTTCCAAAGTGGTTTTTTGAGACGGAGTCTTGCTCTGTCATCGAGGCCTGGGTGTAGTGATGCGATCTTGCCTTACTGCAATCTCTGCCTCCCAGGTTCAAGCGATTCTTCTGCCTCAGCCTCTGGGTAGCTGGGACTACGGGCACATGTGCCACCATGCCTGGCTAATTTTTTCTAATTGTAGTAGAGATGGGGTTTTGCTAAGTTCACCAGGCTGGTCTCGAACTCCTGACCTCAAGTGATCCACTCACCTTGGCCTCCCAAAGTGCTGGGATTACAGGTGTGAGCCACTGTACCTGGCCCTTGTGACTTGTTTTTTAAAAACTGGCCTCCCTCTAGATGGTGGCTTGTCTGAGGACCAGGTGAAGTCTGGTTTTGTCTTAGTTTTACAAATCAATCTCTAGTTTCTTCATAGTGCCAGGAAAGTGTTATTTGCTGTGTCCATCTATCCCCCAGGGAGCAGCCTCACACTGGCTCCTGTTAGCCACGCAAAACGGCGTTATAGAAGGAATCTTCATCTGGCTGGGGAAACACTCACTCTCTTGTTGGCTACATGAAACAATCTTCCAGGGTCGCTGGCCTCATGGGCTGTGAGAAGCAGCCTTCACACCACCGACCATTTGAGATGGCCCTCCTGGGAAGGTCAAGGGCAGACCACAAGACACTGGCTTTTTGAATGGCCTCAGGTCCAGGCTTATCAGCCTTCTGGCATTCCCCACATATTGGTGTGACAAAAAGGCTTCTTGATGGTTGTATCAAGCAGTTTTCCAGAGGAAAGGATCAGCTGGAGTAGCCTTATGGCCTGACTTTATTGATTGGCTTCTCAGAACTCCTCACCAAATTGCTGTTTATAAAGCCTTATATTAAGGCCAGGTGCAATGGCCCAGACCTGTAATCCCAGCATTCTGGGAGGTTGAGGAGGGTGGATCACCTGAGGCCAGGAGTTCGAGTTCGGCCTAGCCAACATGGTGAAACCTAATCTCTACTAAAAACACAAAAATTAGCCAGGCACGGTAGTACAATCCTGTAATCCTAGCTGCTCGGGAGGCTGAGGCAGGAGAATTACTTGAACGAGGGAGGCAGAGGTTGCAGTGAGCTGAGATCGTGTCACTGCACTCCAGCGTGGGTGATAGAGCAAGACTCTGTACCCCTTGAAAGAAAAGCACATGCACACAAAAGGCTTATATTAAACAAAGGGGAGTCAGGAATAAAATGTCTGACTTGCCAGTTCCTTGCAAGAAAAAAAAAGCTGTGTGACGCAGTCTTTGAGAGTGGTACCACAGACTGGCCTTCGAGTGCCACGTAAAAGGGTGTATGGGGAGTTGTATAGATAGCCTTCTAGTGGCCAGGTATAGGTAGGTCATCCAAACCCAGACGCTATTAATATTTATGTCTGCACCAGTAAAACTGGTGTTATTCCAGGCAAACTGACATATACCATAGCTCAAGTGTGGGCCACACTAAAAAGCCTCAGTGGCCTCTTATCTTCACTTTACAAGTCAGTTTCCCAGAGCTCAAGAGGTCTTGGCCTTAAAAAACATCTTGTTGGTCAGAGAAGGTTTTTTTTTTTTGAGACAGAGTCTCACTCTGTCACCCAGGCTGGAGTGCAATGGCGTGATCGCAGCTAACTGCAACCTCTGTGTGGGGATCGCTCCCGTGTAAGGCCCCCTAATGTTTGGGCCTCACCAGACGGTGAGCTTGAGCCCAAAACACAGTTTCCTGCTGGAGGCAGTCGAGCTATGGGAAAGAAGGAACTAAGAAATGACTGATGTTGCAAAGGTTTCTACTTCTGACTACAATGCCGCTTGGGCAAGGGTCATGTGGTTTTGTCAGACATTATGTCGCCACTAGGCCTCTGCATGACCTTTACGACTTTACTTTTCAAGAAGTTTTACTTTATCCGCATGACCACCTTGAACCCTAGATAATGACTTTATGGCTTAGCTTGTGACTCTTGGGTATTGTTATTCACAAGTGTGTTTTGGTAAAAACAGATAAAGCATACCACCTGCCCACTTTTATGATCCCTGAATGTCATACTTAAGATTGTTTTCATGATCCCATATTTTGTAAATTTCCATTCCTCTTATTGTTGATTGTGTAAACACCTTTGATCTTAAGGTATATATTGAGACCCTGGACAAAAACAAATTCACTGTTTAGGCGTTGCCTTTTCAGTCCTCCAGACCCCAGCTATTCTGTCTCTATTTCTGCGCACCCCCTCTTTCAGGTCGGGACCCTCTTGCTGGCCAAGACTCCCTGGCGGATTTTCCGTCGCCCACACCTCTGCCTCCTGAGTTCAAGCAATTCTACTGCCTCAGCCTCCCGAGTAGCTGGGATTACAGGTACCTGCCACCATGCCTGGCTAATTTTTCTATTTTTAGTAGAGATGGGGTTTCACCATGTTGGCCAGGCTGGTCTTGAACTCCTGACCTCAGGTGATCCATCTGCCTCGGTCTCCCAAAGTGCTCAGATTACAGGAGTGAGCCACCGTGCCTAGCCCAGAGAAGGCTTTTTTGCAAGGGGTGGGAAGAGGGTTGTCAGGTATAGAAACAGCCTGAGTGGTCTTATGTCCTGGCTTTGTGAACTGGCCTCATAAGCTGGAACAGCTTTCAGGGGGAAGATCAAGTACAGGCTGCATAAAACAGCTTTTGAGTGGACTTGATTCAGCCCCTACATGCTCCTTACACAAAGTCTTGTCTGTCGGTGTATGAAATGATCTTGCAAAGAAGGTCAAAATATAGGCTATTATGAGCTAACCTCTCAGAGTGGTTTTTCTCCTGGATTTACAAATAAGCCTAAGATGAATCTTATAAAAGGCTTCTTGTTGGTCGTATTAAATAAAAAGGAGCCTGTATAAACAAAAAGCATAGCCTATATAAAATAGCCTGAATAGACTCAGGCTCGGACTTTATAAATTCATCATCCAGACAGAATTCACTATACAAACTGGCAAAGTGGGTCGGTTCCTGGTAGGTTATGAGATAATCCCTCTTGGAAGCTACTGCCCTGTCATCCCAGGATTCTCTCAAATTATTTTTATTATTTTTGAGACGGAGTCTCGCTCTGTTGCCCAGGCTGGAGTACAATGGCCCTGTCCTGGCCGTCCTGGCTCACTGCAACCTCCGCTTTCTAGGTTCAAGCGATTCTCCTGCCTCAGCCACCCGAGTAACTGGGGTTACAGGCACCCGCCACCACACCCGGCTAATATTTGTATTTTTAGTGGAGACTGGGTTGTCCCAGGTTGCCAGGCTGGTCCTGTGAACTCCTGACCTGAAGTGATCCGCCTGCCTTGGCATCCCAAAGTGCTGGGATTACAGGTGTGAGGCACCGTGCCAGGCCTTAAATTATTTTTAAACATCGGCTCCTCTAAAGCACCTCCCAGGGTATTTAAGGTGGCTGGGTGGAATGGCTTCTCCGAGAACCTCACTGTGATTTGCAGAGGGTCTCAGAGTGGGCACTCTGCAAGCACCACGCTGGTCATGAGAAAGCCTCCAAAGGGGGCTTCCAGGACAGATCGGCCTACACCTGGCTTTCTGGGAACAGGCAGTCCAATTCTCCAATCTCCTCAATGTTATTATGGCAGTATTCTACAAAACTTATTCAAAAACAAGAGCTTCGTAAAACTTCCCAGAGAAGTTTGGAACATTTCCCAGAAAGCTTTATTCATGGCACAAGGGTCCCTTTGGCTCTCTAGGGGGCTCACAGTCCTGTGTTTGGGTCGTCCATATGGTCCCAATACCTGCGCACCTCCGGACCCGGGGCTTGCTCCCGAGTCCTCCTGAGCACCCCGATTCTCAGTTACTGAGAAACGCACCGATGCTCAGCGTTAAGTCTTTCCGAGCTATAGGCACCTTTCCTTCCAGCAGCCACACGCCCAGGCCCCAGAGGGTCCCAGGTATCTCGCAGTAGCCTTGCGCCCCGAGGCCTCAGACCCCATTCCCTCTTCAGCGCCTTCCCCGGGGCTGCATTTCTCGTCACTCACATTCGGTACCTGACGTCTCAATCATTTCCAGCCGACCTTGCGGCCCAAGACACACACGTCACGGCGTAAACACTTGCGCAGGCGCACTAGGGCTGCACTGACAAGACGCCAAGAACCACGCAAGCGTACAGCAGCCTGTCGCGGACGGCCCTCACGCATGCGCAAAACCGCCAGAAGCTGAGCACTACGCACGCGCGGAGCCTTGCCCTACGACAGCGCTGGTGAGCGAAGCGCTAAACTGCATTTTCAGAGCGCATGCGCCGACTCGGCCAGCCGCAGGGCCTTCCAAGGCGCATGCGCGAGGCCGGGTTTGACGCTTCGCAAGAGCTTGCGCTGTTCATGTCTCCGAACCCGGCCTCTCCACTTCTGAGGAGCCGGAGCTGACTGCCCTCTCAAGTTGCTCAAACTAACCTCTCTTCAGCTGCGACGGTGTTGAGTCGTCTTTGGGCTGGCGACAACACGTTGCGTTTGGTCCGATCACTCGTCTGTCTCGGAGGAGGAGTCAGCGGCTAGCACAGGGGTATTGATCGCTCGCTGCTCGTCTGATCCGACGGAGAGCCTGGAGGAGCGCCGAGTAATCGATGCTGTCGCCCCGCCCCATCCCGTTTAGAAAGTCAGTGGGTGAAGCCAGAGAAAGGTTGGGGTGTTCCCGCCGGGTCCTTCCCCCAGTGACACCCGCTTTTTCCTCTGCGCAGATAACAACTTCGTACAAGGCTGTTTCGCAATCACCATTTAATCCCTGCAGCTAGGATTATTAGTTCTCCCTGTTTTACAGAGAAGTAAAGTGAGGCTCGGTGATTAAAGTGGCCACATACTTGTACTTTTGGAAAGTCAGATCCACAGTTGACCCACCAGCAAGTGCTGCATCCACGGTCGGTTCAAGTGAGAAGGAAGTGGCCAGGGCACACACTTCTGCCGCCTTTGCTTTGATGCTGAGTGGTGCGGGGGCATTGAGACTTTTGTCTTTTGAGCACACTCTCCTATGGGCTCCAAGTGTGCAGGCCTTTTGCAGCACTGCACAGAGGTGTGGAAAGTTATGCTCATACTGGGCTTGGGGTCTCAGTAGGAAACAGGCTTGCTCAAGATAAGCTCATAGATTAGCGGATTCTAGGTACTGTGCTAAAGTGCTTTAAAAATATTAAAATTGTAGCTGTTGTATTGATCATGATCATTCCCATTTTAGGGAGTGTATTAGTCAGCTTTCACACTGCTGTTAAAGACATACCCGAGACTGAGTAATTCACAAAGAAAAAGAGGTTTAATGGATTCACAGTTCCACATGGCTGGGGAGGCCTCGCAATCATGCTGAAAGGTGAAAGGCACGTTTTACATGGCAGTAGATGAGAGAGAATGAGAATCAAGTGAAAAGGGAAACTACTTACAAAACCATCAGATCTCATGAGTCTTATTCACTACCGGGAGAACAGTATGGGGGAAACCTCCTCCATCATTCAGTTATCTCCCATTGGGCCCTTCCACAACACGTGAGGATTATGGGAGCTACAATTCAAGATGAGATTTGGGTGGTAACACAGCCAAACCATATGAGGGAGGGAGCAAGTAAAGCACAGAAAGCTCTCCTAACCCACCAAGCTCACTGCGATGCTGGTGTTTGAACCCAGCAGCCACAGGCCCAGAATCCTCATGGTTATATGCCACACTAGGTTACTTCCCTTTGAAGCAGGACTGGCCACGAGAAACAGACCTCTCGGACACCGAATTAGGAGGGAAGAGGTGATTTATTTCAGCCAGGAGCAAGGCGACACGTTTGTCTAACAACCAAGCTCCTCTAACAAAGAGAAGCTCTGCCATTATATAGGCTTACAACTCTAGATATTACATGTGAAAGGGTCTTGGGTTTACAATTTTAGAAATTACATATGAATGGGTCTTGGTCGATGGAGGAGGAGTGGAGTGGGGGTCTGATCTTGTTTAAGTAAAAACAATGCCTTCCGGAGAGATTCCCCCATGCTATGTCTGCTATCTATAGGAAGGGGATTTAGGAGGCGCCAGTTGGCCAGCCTTTTCTTCTATTGGAATGTAGCGTGGAAGTCAAGCGGGAGGTGATCCTAGATGCTTGGGTCTCCTTCCTCACCTTGAGTAGTGATAATGTTGAATTTTCCCTGAGTCTTGTACCCCTGGGAAACAGTAAAGATAAAAGGAATTGCTGTCACCCTTTTGTGTTCTGGAAAAAAGTTAACTGCAAAGAATCGGCCCTCCCCTGTAAAACTTAAGACTCCAGGACATCCCCCTGTTGTTTACCTGTGAGAGCAGTTAAACAAGACATAGACCCTCCAAGTTCTCGTTCTTTGTCTTATAAGTGATTACCTGAACTGCTTGTCCCACTAATCAGTCGTTATCAAATGCTTGGTAACCACTTTGGTTAAGATGCTCTCCTTCCTCCAGGCCCCTGGACTTTGGCTCACCCTGGGCCTGAGCCAGCAGACACCCCCTCCTCAGAATAGGCTGGCCTCGGGTTCATATATTCTCTGATCTACTAACCCATCATTTCACCCTTTCACCTCACTTCTGGGTTTTTTCTAGCCTTGTTTTCTCCTTCCTATAAAAGAAAAGCTCTTTTTGGCCTAACCCTTGTGGTCATAGTGTGCTCTCTTTTGCAATAGTCTCCCTCCACCTGTTATAATAGACCCTCCTTCCCCTTGCATTAATCCTTTCAAACAAAAGCCACTCTTTACTAGGTCTGAAGCTGTTTTGACAGTGGATGGGCAGTTACTCTACAGAGACTGTAGTAGGGCAGGCACTAGAATCTCCAAGTTGCCTACACAAGCACCACAGCAAGAGCCAAAGGAGATTTGACCCTGGTACCCCTTGATTCCAGAAGCTACAATGATCAGGAACTGGGTTCCAGCTGTTAATGATGGATACAGCTAGTGCTTGACTTACGACTATGATCGGGACCGGCAGACAGGTCGTAACACGATTTGGTCATCAGTTGAGCAGGCTATATGTACAGTTGAAATGGTGCATGCGGGGATGGTAGTGCTGCCGGAAGCTGGTCCGCACTGTCGTACGCCCAACTGGGCAACATTTGCGCTGCCAGACGCGGAGCAGTCGTGGCTAGCGATTGTGGTCGTAAAGTCGAATGGTCGTAAGTTGCGTAGGTGGTAAGTCGATCAATACCTGTATAGAGTGCCGCCAGTCGGGCAGAGACAAACACCCCTTTTACCAGCTTGTTTGTGCTTTCAAAACTGGCTTGTTGAAATGAATTACAGGCGCAGATGAAATGTTTTCTTAAAAGAACTGCAATTTTTCACCATGGGGTTTTACTTCCTGTAGTCTCTTTGCCAGTCCCCCCACCTCCTGTCATTCCCAGCAGCCTTAGAATTGGTCATTAAGCTGACAGACCCATTTGAATACTGCAAAAGGCACTGAACAAAAAAGGGCATCATTTAGGCCCGTATTTGTGACTTTTCTCCATTTGATCAGAAGCCTGTAATTTAAATATATCCAAGTGTGCTGAGAACATTTGTGACTTAATTATCAAATTTATTTAAAATATATACATACAAACAAAGCTCCAAACTTGCAAACAACATTTAGCCTGGCTGCAAAAGAGACATTTAATTTAGTTCAATTGCTTAAAAACAGACATGAAAACCTCCCACGTCTTGGCTCTTCCACTGATGCCACCTGGATTTTCCAGGTGGAGGGTTGCTCATTTAGTTTTTCTTTGCTTTCAATTTCATTTCAGCATGCAACCTTCAGCAGGGAGCTCGCTAGCCTAAAATGACCTTGTGTGAAGACTGAGAATAAAATACAAGGTGTTTCATTGAGTGGGTTTCCCTGGGGTACAAGCAAAAAGCTCCTGACATAAAGTCAGGCAGACCAGGATACTTTCTGTCTGAGCCTCAGGGTCCACCTCTGAAGTGGTGATGTTGTCTGGGATACATGCCCTGGGGTTCATTGTTGTAGCCAAGAAGATTTAGGACATGGACACACATGAGGAATTTAGGAGCGGAGGTTTAATAGGTAGAAGAGGAGAGAAAGAGAAACAGTTTCCTCTTTAGAGGAAGGAGTCTCCGAGTGGAAAAGTCCAGCTGGCAACAAATGTGTGAATTTTAGAGTCCAGTTTGAGGAGGCAGTGTCTGATTTACACAGGGCTCATAGATTGGTTTGATCAGGTCTGACGTTTACATAGTGCGCACAGAAGGCTTGTCACCCCGCCTTAATCTTATTATGCAAATGGGCTTTCCAGTTCATCAGCGCCATCTTGTTTGCTCCTTATACGTGGCTGGCAGAGAAGGGAAGATGGAGCTGCCATCTTGAAAATATCTAGTCTTTAGTTCCTGCCAGCATTCATGCAAGCTCCCAGGTTGCTTGTCTGTTTGCAGCTTAACTTTACAGACTGCTTTTCATTAGAAAATGATTTGGGGCTGCTTTTCATTAAAAAGAAAAGCCTTTTACAAGAGTAAAAGGCTATTTGCCTAAGTGATTCCTTCTTAACTTCCATATCACCTCCATGAAATAGGTATGGTGAACCCTAAATATCTGAGACAGTCTCAGTCAATTTAGGAAGTTTATTTTGCCAAACTCAAGGATGCACCTGTGACACAGCGTCAGGAGGTCCTAATGCCATGTGCCTAAGATGATTGGGGCACAGCTTAATTTTATGCATTTTAGGGAGACATGAGACATATGTGTGAGATGTACATTGGTTTGGTCTGGAAAGGTGGCACAACTTTAAGCATTGGGGGGGCTTCTAGGTCATGGGTGGATAAGCGAAAAATGGTTGCATTCTTTTGAGTTTCTGATTAGCTGTTTCAAAGGAAGCAGCCAGATACGCATTTATCTCAGTGAGCAGAAGGATGGCTTTGAGTTCTGTCTGTCCTTAGTCCATGAGGAAATCCCTTGTGGACAAATTGTGAGGGAGGTATGTAGCTTTTTTATCTTATTAGCCATCTTTTTAAGGAATAGAATAGGAGGCAGGTTGGCCCTAAGTAGTTCCCAGCTTGACTTTTCTCCTTTGGCTTAGTGATTTGGGGTTCCTGAGATTTATTTTCCTTTCACAGTATGATAACTGACCTCCCAAGGAGGTAGTGATGGTTGGATAAGGTGGTTAAATGTCTCAAGCTACACTCCCTGTTCTCTTGTCTGTCCCAGAATTCATTTATTCCAACCCCCTACTCACCAGCTGGCAATGGCACAGGTCACCCTTCTGGTTCTGTGTCCAAGGACCCCTGCGGGTGGTGTGGAAATTCTTAAAATAAGCGTTCTTGGGTACTGCTTCTGAATGTTTTGATTCAGTAGTTCTTGAGTTAGGCCAGTTACCAGCCAGTAGGCTGGCCAGGGTTTTGCATTTTCACTGGCTTTCCAGAAAACTCAGAGGGAGATGGCACCCACATTTTTGGAAACGTAGCCGATGACTGGAGAAGTAGAGCTAAGGATAGAAGAGGGTTCTGGAAACTGCATAAAGCTGACCTAAAGGTCAGGCCCAGAGCTTCATGGCTGGGACTGAGTCCTCTGGCTGCTGTTGTAAGACCCTTTTCCATCAGCACTTTTCTGTGTCCTCACGTGGAGCCATGATGCAGGCCACAGCCTGGCCAAAGCTCCTGGTCAAGACAGCGTCAAACATTAGCTCCTTTATAGACTAAA